GGACCAACTGCTCCTTATGGGGCCCAAAGCCCGGGCCCCATAAGAAGAAGTCCCGTTGGTGGGTTAGAGGCTAGGTTTAGGACTAAGGTGTGAATTGAGGATGTGTTAGGTTTAGGGTTAGGTATGTACTGGTAATGGTTAGGTTATGGATAAAGGTCATGGTTAGGCTATAGAAATGAATGAAAAATGAATGGAAGTCAATGCAAAGGCCCTATAAAGATAGCAAAACAAACCTGTGTGTGTGTGTGTGTGTGTGTGTGTGTGTGTGTGTGTGTGTGTGTGTCTGTGTGTGTGTGTGTGTGAGGGGGGTAGTGGTGCTGCAAAGGCCTGTGACCAGAAGGTTTCCGGTTCAACTCCCCGCACAGACAACAGCAAAATGTTGATGGGAAAGGAGAAACACCCATACCTGCCTCCACCTTCATTTGCCTCTCCCTGAGCCCTTGAGCAAGGCCCTTAACCCCCACCATCTGTTCCCCTGGACACCCTAGATGGCAGCTCCCTGCTCCACACAGACGGCTGTGGTAGGTCGATGATCTGTGGTTGCATCAGGAAGGGTGTATAGCGTTAAAAACAAGCAGCAGGTCTTTGTTCAAGTTGGGCCATCTGGACTTTTTTTTTTTGTTTAGACTTTTCGTCTTTTCAGCAAACTGGACGGTCCTTGTGGGACTGAGTTTGTTGTGGCTCCTCAGACTGATGAATTCCTTTGGATGAAGTATGGCACATCTCAAAAAAATTAAACCGCCCAGATGAACTGACGTAACTTTGTTGGATTTTTTACCTGGATTGAGCTTGAAATTTGATGTTCATGTGAATTAGTTTGCTGTGGCAACCCCCTGAAGAAGAGAGCAGCCAAAATAATTATATATAGGGAGCAAGGTGGTGCAGTTGGTAGAGCTGCTGCCTCTCAGCGAGCAGGTTACACTGGTTTTAATCCCGGTCCAGGGGCCTTTCTCGTGGTCGTGGAGCACTGAACCAGTTCTACACTCTCAGCAGGGAGTTTGCCCAACCAGTCTACATGTGCTTTGTGGACTTGGAGACGGTGTTCAACCGTGTCCCTCGGGGAACCCTGTGGGGGTACTCTGGGAGTATGGGGTACCAGGCCCTTAGATACGGGCTGTTAGGTCCCTGTATGACTGGTGTTAGAGCTTGGTCTGCATTACCGGCAGTAAGTCAGGCTCGTTCCCGGTGAGAGTTGGACTCCGCCAAGGTTGCCCTTTGTCACTGATAAGCGCTGACGTCACACGTGTTAAACCTGGGTTTCGCCATAAACTGTGAGAAGAGTTCGGTTCTCCCAGCCCAGATGATCGTTTATCTGGGAGTGGAGCTAAACTCAGTCACTATGAGAGCCCACTTATCACAGCCGAGAGCCGAAGCTCTAAAGGACCAGCTCCGCCGCGTAAAACCCGGCAGAGTAGTAACAGCCGTCTCTATCATGAAACTTTTGGGTACGATGTCCTCAGCTCACGCAGTGGTTCCGCTGGGCTTACTCCACACGAGACGCCTTCAGAGATGGTTCGCTCGCCTGCGCATAGATCTGGGGTACGTCAGAAGAGGCGGATGATCTCTGTGCCTCCCTCCGTGGGAACTGACCTGAATCACTGGGGAAACCCTCTCACTCTGTCAGAGGGAATTCCTATCAGCAGACCTACATCACATGTCTCAGTTTTCACAGACGCATCCTTGTCAGGCTGGGAAGGAACGTGCCTGTCTCAAGCGGTGGGGGCGCTGTGGCCACTTCACACATCAGCTCATATAAACATTTTGTAATGTCTCACAGTTTGGAATGTGATTCAGCATTTTGCTCCCCTGTTGTGGAATCAACATGTTCTGATCCACACAGGTAACAAAGTGACTGCAGCTTACATAAACCAGCAGGGGGGCATGCGCTCAGCCCAATTGTTACGCATTGCGAGACAGCTATTGTGTTGGGCACACAAAAGCCTGCTCTCCATCAGAGCAGTGTACATCCCCGGCATCCTGAACAGAGAAGCGGACATAATGTCCAGGGGCGGTCCACGCCATGGGGACTAGAGTCTCCATCCCGAGCTGATTTCTCGGATTTGGAGCAAGTTCGTCTGAGCAGCAGTGGATCTGTTCGCCACACGGGAGAACGCCCAGTGTCAATTATGGTTCTCACTGAGCCCATGGGACGACCCACCATTAGGAGTGGATGCTTTTGACCACAGCCCGTGGCCAAAAATGCTCCTTTATGTGTTTCCTCCAGTCCCTCTAATATCACGGTTTCTGAACCGAGTCCGGGAGGAAGAACTGTCAGCCATTCTTGTAGCCCCCGAGCGCCCCGTGGTTCCCAAACCTGCAACATCTGTTATCGGGTCGACCGTGGAAAATACCGTGGAGGGACGATGCTCTCCTCTAGGTGGGGGGAGCGATCATGAGTCACCCAGAAATAGGCCAGCACCTTTGGGTCTGGCCGCTAAGCGGATCCACTTAGAAAGGATGGGCCTCTCTCAGGAAGTGGTGCGCACAATCCAAGACTCACGAGCTGCTTCCACCACAGCGCAGTACACATCAAAGTGGACAGCTTTTCAGCGCTGGTGCACGAAGAAAGGTGTAAAGGCCATCTCATGTCCACTAGGTGGCGTGCTGTCCTTTCTACAGCAGCTGATAGACAGAAATCTAGCGTTCAGCACAATTAAAACTTATGCTGCAGCTATTTCCTCCTGTCATGAAGGCTTAGGTGACAGAATAGTTTTTAATCATCTGCTGATGAAGTGTTTTCTAAAAGGTGTACAGAGACACAGACCGGTGTCACGCCCACTAGCTCCACAGTGGGACATAACGATGGTTCTGCAAGCTCTGATCAAAGCTCCTTTTGAGCCTTTAGATCAGGTATCACTTAAATTCCTGTCACTTAAAACAGCCCTGCTGTTGGCTTTGACATCAGCAAAGAGAGTGAGCGATTTAACTGCGCTCTCTGCTGCCCCGTCATGCCTCAGGATTCAGGCTAATGGCAGTTCAGCTGCGCTGAGACCTAACCCAACTTTCATGCCCAAAAACATCACAAGTTCATTTAAATGGAGAATGATAACATTGGGGGGGTTTTATCGCCCCCCCCCCCCCACACACCCACACACACACAAATCAGAGAAAGAAGCATTTTTTCATCTCCTCTGTCCTGTGCGTGCGCTGGCATGTTACATAACACGCACGGCTCCTCAGCGGCAGACTCAGCGTCTGTTTGTGCATTTTAGGGACGTCTCTGCAGGTCGCCCGTTATCCACTAAGCGTCTTTCACACTGGCTGTGTGAGTCAATTTCTGAGGCTTACAGGGCATTAGGATTGGAGCCTCCAGAGAATCTCAGAGCTCATTCCACCAGAAGAATTGCATCTTCGACAGCTTTGCATAGTGGCATGACAGTGGAGGACATTTGTATGGCGGCCGCTTGGACATCGCCTTGTTCATTTATCCACTTCTATCTGCGTGATGTTTCAGCTTTCTCCATGGCCCATTCTGTTCTTAGTGTTCTAACAGAATGAATCTTACTGTTTTCATGGAATTTCGTTTTAAACTCACATCTGATTGCATGTAATTAGTGTGAGATATTTATTATCAGTCAAAAGTTTTGTGACAGCTGTTTCTATTGTTACTAATCAGTTCATGACTACTGTTACCAATCAGTTCATTTGATTACTAATCAGTTCGTTTGTTATTAATCAGTTCATATTGAAGAGCTGTTGATCTGCTCTGCTCACTGTTACACGGCTACAATTGTAACCTCTGTTCTTTCCCATTCTTGGCAGCAGGACTGCTTTCAGCCTTCCCCTTTTTTCCCCTGTCGAAAACTTTTTCTCTCCGGGGCGCTCCTGTGCATGGAACGTGTAATTACGCAGCGCGCTCCTGTTCATGGTGCACACAGAAGGATGAGCGATGAAATGTTTTTTTGGTGCAAGCGGGCGCCTCATATTGTGTCTGAATGGATCATATTGTGTCTGAATGGACCCAGTTAGGCATAGACTACATCCTGCTTCGCCTTTAACCCACAAGCAGCAGCCTTAAAGGGCGAAGCCTATACGAAATAGAACGTTGGTTACGTCCTGTAACCCCAGATTCTATGAGTATAGGCATAGTCCTTTAAGCTCTGGGCCTCACTGGTTCCTAAATGGCTGAAGAAAAAGCTATTTGGGAGCCGATTACCCGGTCCCACCGTAATTTATATGGACTGGGGGTGAGGCCCACACAGCAGGTGGGCGTGGACTAAAGTTTTCAGTGCTGCGCACGATGGGATAAACCCACTAGTGACAGGCTTAAAGGGCTACGCCTATACTCATAGAATCTGGGGTTACAGTATGTAACCAACGATTTGCAGCTGCTGGAGAGACTCAGGATCCAATTGCAGTAACAGGTCTTTGCAGGCAGGTGGGGTGAGAGACACCTGTCAGATTTTAAAAAGATGAACTGGTGGGAAGGCAGCTGCAGAGGGAGGACTTTAATGCTGTAAACAGTGGGGCAATGCAGGTTTGAGGTCCAAAGGGCAAAACAGGGGTCAAACTCAGGGGGTCTGTGGTACAAGAATAATCCAAAAGGGTGATCTGTGAGTCGTGGTCATAGACAGAAGAGGAGGTTGTTACCATGATCAGAGAGGCAGAGCAGAACCAGATGAGGAGCAGGCAAAAACAGGAAATCCAGAAGGCATGGCGTGATGTCGAAAATCCAATAATAAGGCTTGAGGTTCAGGCATGAAACAAAAAAGCTATGATGGCTGGAAAATCAGGGACCATGAGAGGTGTAATAATCTGGCACTGGACAAGTGAAAGTGGAGCTCTTAAAAAGGGCCAAAAACAGGTGCAGTGAATCAGGGATGATGAGCTGAAAGTGCAGACAGGGGCGTGGCTTAATGACAGAAGAAAACATGACATGACAGGGAGGGGACAGGGGAAGTAATAAAGGCACAAAGGGGCAGAGACTTAAGCAGAATGGGGCAAGCAGAGATCGCTGATCATGACAGCTGGAGGGACTATGTTTCTCGACTGGCCTGGGAATGCCTTGGGATTCCCCCGGAGGAGCTGGCCCAAGTGGCTGGGGAGTGAGAAGTCTGGGCCTCCCTACTTAGGCTGCTACCCCTGCGACACAACCCTGGATAATCGGAAGAAAATGGATGGATGCTTTATAGTTTTTATACTGCTTAAAAATATAGTTTCCTCAAATGGTTAGAGTGGCTCTTGGGGTAGTCAAAGATTAATCTATGGTGAAGGCCACCGTTGGCCACCCCATGGCTTTGCCACTGCCCTCTAGTTTTAATCTTCTCTACAGTGTAACTCCTACCCACTTGAAATATTCCACCAAAACCATTCAGGTCTACTTGCATTTCCTGTTTAATTCCACTCCAGAAAAACACTTATCAAAAACTATAAACATTCACTCTTGAACTCCACAGAAATGGGGGACATTTGCATAATGTTTGTTGTCCACAAACACTGTTTCAGCAACAGAAATCCTGTTTATATTAGATATAGAATGTGCAGTGAAATAAATGGTTTGTAATCCATCCATCCATTATCTTTTACCCACTTCTTCCATTTTGGGTCACGGGGGTTGCCGGTGCCCATCCAGCAATCACTGTGCGAGGGGTGGGATATACCCTGGACAGGTTGCAAGGCCATCACAGTGGGTCAGTTGTTTCCTGTTGAAATGAGAAAACTGTCCAAAATAATACAGTTTGATGAGGACTCTGTTTCTACACATCTGGAAGGCTCTCAGCTTTCTTTTCTGCTGATATGAACACAGCAGCTCAAACCCATGATCAGAGTGGAGGACTGTTGTCTCTGTTTTTGTGTCCAATCATGAATCCTGTCACCATTCTTGTTACAATCCTGCTGGCAGCAGTCTGGACAAACTCCAACCATCTACTGACCTCAGAGTCTCCAGTTTGTAGTCTGGACTCTCCACAAGAGCCAGCAGCTGCTGAACATCTGGTTCCTGCAGGTAGTTCTGACTAAGGTCCAGTTCTGTCAGATGGGAGGGGTTGGACTTCAGAGCCGAGACCAATGAAGAGCAGCCGATCTCTGACAAACTGCAGCTCCTTAATCTGAACAAATAATAAAACGTGAGCTGAAGTCAACAGGATGCAGTTTAAAATCACTACAAAACTTGTTCAAATTATGGACAGTTAAAAAAAAAAACATTTGAAAAGACATTATCAGAGCTCCATCTATGCCAGATCCTGCCTCATGATGTCAGCAAGATCATAAGAAGGGTGAGGGATCAGGAGGAGCTTGTTAATGATCTGAAGCCAGTTGCAACCATTGCAACACAACCAATGGTCCTCAATCCTGGTCCTCAAGGGCCACTGTCCTACATGTTTTAATTGTTTCCCTGCTCTTCTGCAACTCTTCAAGTTCTGCAAAAGCTTGCTAATTACTCATTCATTCACACGAGGTGTGTTGAAGCAGAGAAACATCTAAAACATGGAGGACAGTGGCCCTCTGTTACTCCTTTGATTTGTTTAGATTACATGCCAATCCGCTAGCGGGGCACTATCATGCCAGTAGTGCATGTTAAGGGGTTTTACATTCTTCTTTGTTGGTGTCTGGGAGTGTGGCAGAGATGAGCATGGTGGAATAAAGTTTTATCAGCTCCAAAAGGAGAAGTTATTTTTATTGACTAACATTGGTAGTATTTTTCTACCCATTGAGATTACCACATGAATTATGGCAAAACCCCACTGCAGCCTCTCCTCTAAGGGGAATATCGGACTAATCTAGCACTTGAGCTTTACCCAAAATGATGTTAGATTAGTTCTGCTTAAGGCTGTATTGGAAGTGATTCACCCAGACTGTTCACGACCATCAGTTGCGAGCCAGACCCTTATCTCACCCCTGGACTCGTCCAACCTAGTAGTCGGGGTTGGGACGTTAATCAAGGGGAAACTGGCATTTTTAGGCCGCTCACCTTCTATTGTAGAACTACAATTGTTACCGATCTGGTAGTTTTAGAATCTAGGCACAAGATTCCAGGGTGTTGTTTGATCCAAGCTGTGAAACCTTTAAAAACCTCCTTTTTCTGATGAAATTGAACCAAGCTTTTCCAACTTTTCGAACCCGAAGTGTAGAAATGGTAGTCCAGAATTTTACATTTTATGCTTTGCTTTAATCAAGGATTTGCAGGGGTACAGCGTTATCAGCACATTATAATTGATTACATTTGATCATTCCAACAATTCTAATGACAGAAAATTCATGCCTGATTCGAGGGACTGTCTTATGGGTTTTGTGTGACATTCAGTGTCCTATTGTGTCCACAAGGCATGGCTCCCCTGACTCCGATGAGCCAGGTTGGAGAGTCCTGTCTCCTAACTCTTGAGTTGTTGTTATAGAGCAGCCTGTTGCTACACGGTGGACTGTTATGCACTTTGAGCCCCAAGGCAGGTTAAAACCCCTCAAACCTCTAAGTCTGTCTCACCAACCAACCAAACAAGTTTAGCCAAACGTGTTACAAACCACCTTGATAGCACACAGTTTATGCAGTGACTTTTCAAGAGTGCTGGAAGCAGAAGAACACTCTCGCACCCTGACTCTACCTCTTAATTTAGAAACAGTTATTTCATATAAATTTAGTATTTGGACAATGGGTAGGAGTCGCTCACTATTTCTGCCCGAAGACTTTTGGAAAATGGCATGATAATCTCTCTGGAAGAAATCTCCTTTAACCCCCAAAAGCTGTCCTGATCCTGAGGAATCTGGTCTGGTGTCAGCCCGACTGAGCAAAAGGTATTCCTATTTTGCTGAACAAGAATCCTCTTATGAGCTGTTCCAAGTTCCTCTATGTAGCTCCTGGGGCTGCAGCCTCATCGTCCTCCTCTTTAGACTACCACGGTCCGTTCAGCCCCGTTTCTCTACTGGGCTTGGTTTTTATTGACTTTTGGATTTGCTGGTCAACCCCTCTTTTTCCCCTTTACTAGTTTGATCTAGTTGGTGATTGGTTGTAGTTTGTCATTGTGCCCTTTTAAGGCATCAAGTTGTTACTGCTCTGCTTCTCGGCTCACAAGTCACTGACATACGATCTTTCCTACAGCCCATTTCCTTTTATGGTAAAGGAGAGCTGCCTTGCTCTGTTTCTACATGTAATGCTACAAGGTACTTACACACTGTTCTGCTGAGGTCAGCCTGCAGCATTCCAAAGGAAATGTAGCATCTCTCTGGAATGCTGTTAGCCCCCCCCCCCACACACACACACACAGACATCAGCTCCCTCAACTTGCTTTTTCCCTCTGTTTCAGAACATAGCATGAATCCATATACATTTCATTCATTTTACTTCACCCTAATCACAGGATGCAATATAGAATACAATAATCACATCATGCATTAATACAATACTGTATATTCTGTTATGATTACTTTTATATAATATTGTACTCCACTTTAATCATAGTGTAGAGCACAAATCTGTCACATATGGGTGTCCATGGCAAAGCCGATTTCATTCCAAATGACCTCACTTGACAGTAGCAGAGGATGGTTAGTAACTACAGAATTCCACCGTTTGAAGAAGGAAAGCCTTATGAAAGTTGGAAGAATGAAGTCAACATTTGGACGAGACTTACAAATTTGGAGAAGAAAAAGCTAGCGCTTGCAGTTGCCCTGGCACTGTCTGGAAGGGCGCGAGACGCGGCCATGGAAATTCGGGTAGACGATCTAAATAAAGACACTGGAATTACCACATTGTTAGCTAAACTAGATGATTTGTTCCTAAAAGGAAAAGGACAGGGTCTATGAAGCGTACTCAGATTTTGACTGGATTATTAAAGATTTAAAACATGTCTATTATTGATTTTGAGCAGGGTTACTCGCGCAAGAAAAAAATACAACATGGAGCTACCCGACGCAGTTTTGGCTTTTAAGCCTTTGGGCACCGCCTGTTTGGATATGATGGACAGACAGTTGGCTCTAACGGCATGCTCAGATATAACATTTGCTTCAATGAAGTCTGCTTTGAAGAGAATATTTGGCAAAAAAAAAAGAGTGCAGCAGCAGAAAATATTAACTAGGAGTCTGTGTTTGCAACAGAGCAACGGTGGCAAAAGGGCAAGTCCTGGTGGCAAAATACTCGTCAAAAAACTCCACAGTCCAGCACTCCACAGCACGATACAAATCCGTTGGATAAGTACGGACGACGATCAAAATGTGCAATGTGCCAAAGTACTTTTCACTTGGTTAAAGACTGTCCACACAAAGCTGAGAGTGTTAAAGTAACCGATGATACAACAGACATGGAAGAGTGCAATATAACTGTATACACCAAAGAATCACCAACAGATGCAGAAATATTCATGACAGAATGTTTTGGCTTGGCAATAATAGGCACCACTTGTACTAGGACAGTTTGTGGACAAAAGTGGCTGGACAACTACAGTACTGTCTTACAAAAGAAAAGTGTGAAGACAGTGAAAGAGACAAACACAAAGTCACAGACCCTTTAAGTTTGGAGATGGAAGAGTCGTCCACTCTTTCCAAAAGGTAAGGATACCTGCTAAGACTGGCAACAAAAAGTGTAATATAGAAACTGAAGTGGTACCTGCTAACATTCCACTGCTTCTGAGTAAAACATCATTAAAAAGGGCTGGGACAGTTTTGGACATGGAAAGGGACAGTGCAATGATGTTCAACCAGCATGTCAAACTGGACTTTACTAGCTCTGGTCATTACTGTTTGAACATTGTGGACAGAGCGAGGAAATTTTACAACTGGATTTGTTGCATAGGTGGCATCCTTTCACAGTTCCACGCTGGAATTCACTGAGCTCCCGAGAGCGACCCATTCTTTCACAAATGTTTGTAAAAACGGTCTGCATGCCTAGGTGCTTCATTTTATAAGCCTGTGGCCATGGAAGTGATTGGATCACCTGATTCCAATGATTTGGATGGATGAGCAAATACTTTTGGCAATGTAGTGTATGTGCAAATCTGGTGACTAACTACAAGAAATATCTCAACAACAAAGTTGGACCGAGTTCTAAGTTGTTTTTAGTTTGGTGATGAAATACCCCCAACTCACTAACTCACTTTCAAATCAGGTTTTTACGTGATGTTTGTGGAACAAACCTCAGAGTCTTCAGTGCACAATGTGGACTCTCTAGAAAACCACAGAGTTCCTTCACTCCAGAATTGTCCAGATCCTTGTTGTTACTCAGGTCTAGTTCTGTCAGATAGGAAGGGTTGGAATTCAGGGCTGAGACCAGATAAACACAGCTGATATCTGTCAAATCACAGTTTTCCAACCTAAAACATAAAAAAAAATATTTTGAAGGAATGTGAAGAAAACAATGTGAGGAATTTATATTTAAAACTTAATATCCACAAAAACACAATAAACTTGTTTAATAATTAATCTAGTAAACGTTTATTTAAAGGGTAAATTTTGCACATTTAATTAATTTTAAATCAAACAGTCTCTACAGTTTTAATGTTTTGAATGAATAGAACTTTTATGAGTACACATTTTAAACTAAAGGCTCAGCATTTCTTGAAGGAATGTCTCTTTCTATAGATAACCAGCTGAAGATGGACATCCAACCATTACTTTCAGAGATTCAGTAAAATCTGCCCACTGGTTCAGCAGAGATTGAGGAGTAA